AAAATGTCCAGAAAATGAATAATAATATTTAAGAATGGAATGGAAATGTTTTGTTGTTGTCTATAATTCTTGTATTGTCATTCCGGATCTAAAAAACGTTGACGCACATGCCAGCGCAAACGGTTATGATTAGTCTCGCCCGGTATATGTTTGCGAAAGTAATCCCATTCACTTTTGTAGTACTGATATAAAGCCACAGGATCTGCATTATTAGGCTTGCGCGAACGTCCTTGGGAAGATGAACGGGGAACTAAAATAAAAGAATTACTATTTATTCAGCTATTTAAAGTAACTTCAATCTACTTACTTAGAACGCCTGCAATCTTTGAAGCACGTGATCGTGCACTGCTACGACCTGTACACGTTGATAAGGGACTGCATGATCTTTGTGCACTTTTGGCACGTGTTTTCGATTTTCCATCTGTTTCCACTTGCCATTCGGGTGACTTTGTTTTAGATCGTGGTAGACGTGTTATACCGGTGGCTGTCTTTTCACCACTTAAGTTCTCCCACTCCGTTGTATGACAATGGTTAGATTGGGATTTTTGTTTGGATAATGGGGACACCTTATTTTTGTCAGAAGTCGAATCAGCCAACAAATCTGCCATTAATGCCTGAGAATCCAGAGTTTTTCTTTGATTAGCAGAATTTGTACTTTCATTTGTCAAATTTAATTTCTGTCCAAAATCTCGAGACAAGTTTTCTATGTTGTCGCTGTTGTCAGTATGTTTTATTTTGGACAAATATTCCTTTAGTTTTTCATGTACAATATCCTCGATAAGAGATGGCAAGGGTTTTGTTGAACATGATTCATTTTGTCCGTAAAGTTTATCCTTTAAGGCCTTGTTAATTAAATCTTCTATAATCGGCTTAAGCACCGCTGGATCCATAAATGAATCATTTTTGGTTGCTGGTTTACCACACTTTGGAGATTTCTTTTTTCCAGAATGGGAGTTGGAAAATTTGTCCTTTAAAATTTCAGCAACTATATTTTCTACTGTTGATCGTATCGACGAAGTTTGTGTTGGTCTGGAGACATTGTCTTGGTTGGCATTTGCAATCAAACTACTATCATCCGATGAAGTGGTTGTATAATTTATGCTTTTATTATTTTCTTGTAAAACTTTCGTACGCTTTTGACGAGCCTGTTTACTTGTTGTTGGTAAGTTATCATCGTTTGGATGTGTTGCTGCTTGTCTGCCATTAGGAACATTTTCCTTGTTATGTTTGGCCCTAAAACTAGCCGTTGTTCGTCGAAAAAGACTTTCATAATAATCATCGTGTTGGGCATTGACGCCCATACGTTCCTCATATTTGATTAGTTTTCGTAAATCTGAAAGGAGGAAAAAAATTGAAAACCTTTTTAGACCGATTAATCTATCTAATCGTATATAAATGGAAACCTCTTAATAATATATCTGTCTTATAGACATATGTAGACCTATGTTTTCATATCGCCCCTATAAAAATGTCTAGCCCCATTCTAGGTATTTTAATCGTTGTAGTCTATAATATAAATAGGCTAATAGGTCGGGCTGTTTGGTTATTATGGAATGTAATGTCTTTCCTACCTCAACCCCGTGAAACATCGAACCCTAGTCAAATATATACACGTTTTAAGGAACTATGAATATTTCCATAGTCCATTTCTTGACATTGTTACACAATAATTGACTTATGTATACATAACTATGATTTTTCTCTATATCACTCACACACTTAGTCTTCCTTTATTATGCTGCAGTCTTTTATTTTCTTATATATTTTCTGGATGGACACAATGGACCACAAGACTAATGAAGTTAGCAGCCTACCTTAATTGCCAAGACTTATCTAAGGGGAGCTTCTCCCATTTCTAAAATTTTTATATTCTAAACCACTTTCCAATCTTGCCTTTTACTTTCTTATATTTAATGCACCCAAACCTTCAATAAAAGAAATAAACAATATTTTCAATTTCAAATTAGTAGTTTTTTCTTATTTTATTATTATTGCAACATAAAATTGTTACAATCTATAATTTACTTTCAAAATGTAATCAATGTTTTGTTTTTGTTGTTGTCGCTTAAAAAATGAAAAAAACTAAATTTAAAAATTAACACTCATGATTTCTAGAGTGTGTGTGTTTTAATTACGAATATTTAATAATTTACATTACGATGATCTAATATTGGTTTTTATATTTTTTACAATTACATTTAAAAATGTTTGGAAATTAGTTTAGTTATTTGAAATTATGGAACTTATTTCTTTGAAGATTAATAATTTTTTCTATGTGATGTTTATATTTTTGTGTGTTTTATGATTTTTTGTTTTTGTAATGTTAAAAAATAAAATTTCGAAAAGAAGATTTATTATGGTTTCCCCATTAACATTGGCTGAAAAGTAGTTGGAGTAACAAAAAAATAAATGAATAGAGACTAAATCGATTCTATTTAAGATTAAACAATATCAAAAATTCCATATGTTTTAAATAGTTTAATTTTGCGGGTATAAGCGGGCTGCTCTTAGCATTCATACTATGCCCCATAAAAAATTTAGAATAATCGGCAACAAGCAGCAATAAGTTGTGGTATTATAACATTAAAGTGAGGCTGCCTAACGCTATGGTGTTTTGCGACTTCCTGTCCAACAATGTTTACCCGAGTCATACACTGACACCAATAAAAATGTAGTTCCAAAAAATATTTGAGAAATTCCCAAACATATAAAACAATAAAATATTTGTAATTGTTGTGAGGCATACGAGACAGTAGTTTGGATTGGGAATGAATTCAATCCTTCAATAAATGTGGTTAGATCCGCATACCACATTTATTGAACGATTCAATTCATTCCCAATCCAAACTATTGTCCCATACTTCTTAAAGCATCCGTGCTACAACTGGGACATTCACAATTAATTTAAAATCCAACAACAATCCAAGTGAGAAGTGAAGAGATTTCCACAAATGAAAAGCGTAGTTGCTAGTAAGGATGGAGATTATACATCCGATCTCCAAAAGATTATGTTAAAAGCGCATAATGAGAACCCGCCATACAGCAGGAAGAGTAGTTCCAAAGATGACGACACATTCAATGTGGGTAAAGGAAGCTATGAAGGCAACGAAACGATAGCTTAGCTGTATGTTATGTTGAGTAATTGATGGAAAAGTTACATGAAATCGGAAATCGAAATTATATGTGAAGACTATATTTAAAGCTGAACCAGTCCTTATCGGCTCATTGTGCAAGGGCAAAGCAGTACGAGTCAGTATTTATTACAAAATACCTGGAGAGACGTACATACAAATCGATTTAGAAGGTGATTCTAAGTAAGCCCTCAAAAGTAAATACATAGAAGACAATCTCAGTTAGTCTGGGTTTATACATGCAAATTTATTAAGCAACTCTGCTGAGTTCTGAAAAGTGAGAGGTATAAAAAGTGACAAGGGGAAGAAATTCAAAAGAGAATCGAAGAGAGCAGCAGCAGAGTTGCTTACAAAAGATGCATGTAAAAAAACCCAGACATACCTTAGCAAAAATAAATTATTTTGCAATTTTATAAATTTAGAACAATATTTACAAAGCGATTGAAATCTCAATTATGCATTATTTTCAAAAAACGAAGTCTTTAAATAATTGAATCATTAATAGATATTATTCAGTATTTTTCTGTATTAAACCCAAAAAATAAACATATTTTTGAAGGAAGATGAACAATACTTTCTTTCACTTTTTTTTTTTGTTAGACCCCAGTACTTTTCACCCCATGAATTAGATGAATTCATATATGTTATGGTGTGGAATATTCGTTTTGTAATAGGCATTTTTATTTGTAGAAAAAAATGTATTTATGTATATAGTGTTTGTATAAATTAATAGTAACAAATAAATTTTAATAATGACCATTTACTATTTTATGTTTTATTTCCTTTTGTTTTAAATTATCGTATATTTTTTAATTATTTATTTTAAATTAAATACTAAAAGCCTATGTGTTATTAACTATATTTATGTATATATTTATAATAAATGTATTACAATAAAATTTTTCTTGTTGTTGATATTATTTTTTTTAATTAAACAAAATGATTTACAAATAGCAAAGTAGTACATGGATGGTGGAGCGGCGTTAATAAATTTATTTATTCTTCTTTATATGGAGGAAATAGTTAATTTTCAGTTTCAGTTGTTGTGTTTTTATTTAATAAATGGAACGGGTAACGTACAGAGAAAAAATTAAAAAAATACATTAAACAAAAACAACAAATTATAAAACAAAGAAGGAAATAAGATATCCCAAAAAAGATGGAAAGATTTTTGTAAAGAAAAATTAAACAAAAATCTTAAATAGTATACTTTGCGTTGGTTTATATTGCTAAATGTGTAGCTTTTTACAATAAATTTATCCTAGATGTATCTATCGCTTAATACCATTTATGTATATAAATTACAAAAGGTAATATATATTTTGTTGTGTCTACTTTTTTGTTTATTTACGATAACAACAATGTTTTCTTGTTTCTAATGATCTGCATAGGGGAAATATTTGTAGACTTTTTTGAGGAATTCAGAATTTTGGTATGAAGATTTCTATATAGTATCGAATGTATTTAAGACATCGGTTCAATCAAATATTGTGGTAATAATTAGCCGTCATTTGGAAAACTATATCTATTTAAAGCATGCAAAATTGAACATGGATGCTTGAAATTCATCCATGCTATTACTATCAAAAACAATGAAGTCATTGAATAGCAAACATTTCACGTAAACTTTGAATGATTTTATTTCCAGGCCATATAACATGATCCTGAAATAATTCTATTTGAAATTAGCAGTAAGTATTTCCTTAAGATTTATTGCACCAATATCTCATCAATTCGTATAGAAATATTCCGAAGCCCACAAGGACCTTATTAAAGTCTTTAATTTCACATCATACTTATGTTAGAAGCTCCCTTTTCCTTTATCACGATGGTGTTGGTTTTAATTCATGGCGATGATGGCAATTCAGTCAAAGATGGGTATTAAAATATAACCCTGTCCCTATCTGCGATAACGAAATCTTCTAAACGGCGCCCTTAAACGACGACATGTCACACGAACTTCCTTCTTGAGAAACTGTGAAATGGCCAGTGATTTGACGGCAGCCGTTGCTGCTTCCGCCGCACATGAGGCAGCATTTGTGGGTGCATATTTCGATAAATCAAATTTACGTTTGGGCGTTGTTGCACTACTATTATTCAATGTTGTTGTATTACTCGAATGATCATGATTTTGCTGTAAATGATGATGGTGATGATGATGCTGCAGCCCTTCATCGTCGCCGGTATTTCTTAGCTGTGAATGTGAGTTACTAAGATCGAGATCTGTATCTAGGCCATCAGATGAAACTGTAAAAATATCCGAATTATCACCAGCCTTTTCGCTGGGACTTATACAGCTACCAAGGCTGCCATTCAATTGCGGGGTACGACGTAAAGCACGCATAAACGGCGTACAGGGAGTTGATGTTGTTGCCACATTATGCGACCGAGATTTGTCCACAGGACTAAGAGTTGATGTTTCGTCTACCAAACAACGTAACCGCTTCTCTTGTGGTTCATAGGAATCTTCATCATCTTGAGCGAGAAAAGTTTTTGATGTAGAACGTTTCGATTTCTTTAGAATCTTTTTACATTCAACATCCTGGGCATCTTCATCATCGTCTTCTTCGCGTTCTTTATCGTCATCATCTTCTTCGTCATTTCCTCCCTCCTCCTCCTCGATATCACCATCTTCCTCCAATTCACCATCCGAATCAACTCGCTTGGGTGGTTCATTGACCGTCTCTTCTTCAATGGAATCAGCCATAGTTTCATTATCCTCCTCCTCGTCGTCGTCATCATCGGCTGTTTGCGAATCTTCATTGAGACCTACTTGCGAATCCTCATCCTCATCTGCCATGATGTTGTTCATAGTTTCCTCTTCGTCACCGACACGACACTTTCCATTTTCGGCCATTTCAACATCGGAATCGGGCGGTGTAATAACACCATCGTTTTGTGTCTTGTCTTGAGTAGTTTCCTCATCATCATCACCCATTAACTTCTCCCCGCCGGCCATACTATCTTCACCATCTACATCTATCTGTTCCTGTTTAATGCGTATCGTATTCTCCCCCACATTTACAGCTTCTTGTTTCGTCGCTAAACCATTGTCCAGGAAGTAAATTTTATTACTCTGGGCTTGTTGGCGGGTTACGGTTTTCTTTCGACACACTTTTGGCCATCCCGTCCGATTTGTTTTGGGATTTTTCCGTTTACGATAATAGCCCAACATATGTGCCGAGTTAAATATGCTAAACTTTTTCGATTTTGGATCTTGGCCTGCTCTGGCTTCATCGCTATCTTTCAGGCTATTTTCCAGATCTTGATTTATCAAATCGCAAAGATCAAAATCACTGGAAAAGTAATCGGTTGCAGGGGGTGTATTCAGAATAGCAGATGATGTCGAGGCGGCAGGTGGCATATCTTGTTCTTGGTGGGTAGGTGGTTGAGAGCTGACATTTGATGATTCATTAGTAGGACCGTCATATAAATCCAACAATTCGTTCTCCAGATCTGTACTGCCAGTCGGCGTTAATGTCAAAAACTTGTCAATTTGCCATTCTAAAAATTTAGGACTTTTATATTCTGTGGTTATTTTCTTCAAAGCTTCCAACGCTGATGCATCTGCTTCAAATTCAAGTACACCTTTTTTGGAACCAGTCTTACGTATAGACGGTAGAATATTTTTACTGTTTTTGGCTGCTAAAGAATTTCGATGGACACCAATAATTCTTTGCCGACCTCTGCCACGTTTTACAACACCTCCACTGGCCCCCAGAGATTCGCGAGTTCTTGTATTCGAGGTATTCGGTGTTCTTGATCTTTGTTGCGATGATAATGCTGCCGCCACTGAAGCATTTCCGGCTGAATATTTGCCAAAAAGGTTCATCGAAACGTTATTAGGTGGACGACCCCTAGAGGGACGAACAGCCGTCGATGCCCGTGCTACAAAAGGCGGAGAATAATCATATTTGTTGCGCCCCCGTCGCATACGCTTTACATTTTCCGATATTTCAGTTGCAAAACGTAGTTCTTCGACAGGAGTCGCAGCCTGTGAGCGAGTTCTTGGTGAATTTAGAACGGCACTCTGTGGCAGAGGAGATTGTCTGGCGGGTGTTTTGGCAGCAGGTGGTGGAGTTTTCAAACGTTGAGCCACTTTTTGTAAATGTATTTCTTTTTCGGTAGATGGTGGCTCTTGGGCGGGAGGAATTGTTGGAAGCGGTTTAGAGTCCTCGGCTGTGGGTGTTTTCGGTTCATCAACTTCCGAGTTGGACTTGCTCACCGAGTCTTTTCGCTGTTTTATAATACAACTGACTAATGCCAAGGTAGAGGCATGTTCGCGTGGAGACTTCCGAGGTGGCAACTCCAAATGGGCCATAAACGTCGCCTTGTTGAGCAGTTTTTTATGCATCTGCCGCGATTTACCAAATGTGCCCGTACTGCTCGCACAGCTACTTGCATTACTGTGGGTAGAGCCGGCTCTCTCATGCCTACTGCGGGTAACATCTTCCTGTTTTATTTCCATCCTGTTACTGTCATCTTCTGCCGCTGCCGCAGCGGATAAACGATGAGCATTACTATTCTGCACCTGTTCTTCCAGTTTTTGACGCTGTAACTTTTCCTGCTGCTCCTGTTCCTGGCGATAACGTTGCAGCAGATGCAGCTTCTTATGTTTGTGCGTGTATGGTGTTGATGTTGCATTGGAATCTGTGGTGGAGTTTGAGAGTTTGGAATGTTCTTGTTGTTGTGATGTAGTTGGGGCGAGGCCTGAGTTGGAAGATGCACCACAGTGTTGTGTGTCTTCCTCTTGTTTGATCAAGTTTTCACACTTCGTTTCGAAGTCACGACCCTCGACAACGCCGATTCTCGATGACGTTACTGCTGCCTGTTTATCTTCAGTCTCTTGCTTGTTAGTGTCCTTATTCTGACAAAGTCTACAACACACTTTCGTCCCCATGGAGCCTTGCAGGGACATTTCAAAGGGCACCGGTCCCATTTCATATGGAAGTTTCCGATATGTTGTAGAACCAAAATATTCAAAGTACTTCTCTTCGCAGTTATCTTGACGTCTATAAACACGATACCATAAATCGTACTCGGGTAAGCGCTCAAAGGCATATCTTAATTTTTTGAGACGCTCACTTTTGGTGTAATCGAAGAATCTAGAAGGAGAGGATTGTTCCTTTTTCGATGGCGAGCTAGTGGTTGATGAGGATTTGTTGTTGGTCGGCGTTTGTGGTTCCTCTTGTTTTTTATCACTTTGTTGGGTCGTTGTTTTGGAAGGAGACTTTTCTTCTTTGGTCGACAGGGCCAATTTTCTGAGAGATTTTTTAGGAGGAGATGTTAGTGAATGTGGTTGTGTTTGTGGTGTTGGTTGATGGGCTTCTGCTTTCTTCTTTTCTGTAGCATCTTTATCACTAGTTTTCGCCCTCGTTTTGGCCTTTGGCTCGACTGTTTCCTTTTCATCTTCCTCTGGTTCCTGTTCAACATCCGAAATAACTTCCGTCTTAATTGTCTTTCCAAGATGACGGGTACTTCTTTGCCTTGTTGCGGTGGACACCTGCTCCGTAGCCGATTTAGTTGACTTATTCGCTGATGATTGGACTTGCGGAGTTATTTGAGCTGGTGTTGTGACGTTATGTGACTTCTTGGGTGACGTCTTAGCTTTGCTTTCTGACACTTTAAAGTCTTCGTCTTTCTCATCATCATTATCCACGGAGAGATCATCATCGTAGTCCTCCTCATCGAGACTTTCATTTTTGTAAATAATGGCAGTTCCTCCGCGTAATCTCTTCTCGCATCTGCTGGTGTTATTTGTCGTCGCCGGAGCGGCATTTGTTTCATTAGTATTACTATTTGATGATCTTGTACATTTATTGGTTTTGGTGGTATTCTCCCCCATCCTATCCTCCGTATGAAATACAACTGATTGACGGTGACTATAGCGTAGTTTTCTAGTTCCTAGTTCCTCAATAACGGGCTTTGGTTTAGTTTCCTTCGGCGTTTTTATCTCCTCCTCCTCCTCTTCCATCTTTTCCTTTTTGATTTCCTTTTTAGTTTCAATTTTCTTTGTTGTTGATTTGGAGGAAGGCCTACCGACTTTGCCTGTGCCGTTGGTAACTACCGCCGGTGCAGTTCCTCCGGAAAGCTGTTGCTTACACTTATTCTTGGCTGCATCAACAGCGGCCTGCATAATACGAGTACTGGTCGTAGCTGCCGTAACTATAGCCGTTGCGGTTCGGGAACTTTTCCGTGTTGCTTCAGGAATAACAATTTTAGCTGTCTCCGCTAAAATTTCAGCAGAACTTGGAGCTGCTGCTGAATTTCTTCGTCCGACGCTATGAGTTGCGTTCTTTTTCAGTTGTTCAAGTGGCTGGATGGGGGCCTTCGGAAAGCTCTGCCTACCTCCCTCGCCTTTCGAGGTCGAAGTGGTGAGGGTGGTAGTACTAGCAGCTTTGAGGCCCTTTGTTGGTATGGGCGTTTTCACATAGGTTTGTCTGCCCTCTTCTTGGGTATTTACAGGTGTGATAATTACATTACGTTTCCCCGTTGTTTGGGCAGGTAGTTTTCTTTTGGCCTTTGCTATGGCCTTTTGACCATTTACCATTGACTTTTTAGGACATTCTTCGAAATATTCTTCATTCTCATCGTCGGAATCGGACGATGGTGTCGCCTCTGAGGGTGTACCCGCCGACGAGGACGTACAAATAGACGCTGTATTTTGGGCACGATCTGAACTCGTGTGCCTATCGATATCCGTGGGCAATTCACTCGAGTCACTTCTCTTCTTGGGGAACATAAAGTTCTCAGCCTCTCCATTCAATACCTGCAGTTCGGTATTGCGCACCTTTTTAAACTTCACAATTATAGAGGGCGAAGCGGTCACAGCACTATCCAAACCGCCTCTGTTCTTCGTCGGTGTACACTGGACATCCGCTGTATGTGTTTCCACAACTTTATAGAGGGAATTTGGTGGCAACATGGCACGTATTGGCGGTGACAAAACGGCATTTGATGCAGATCCAGGATGCTTTTTGCGACTTGTGACTGGAGTCTTAACAACCAGAGGTGGTAATGGTGGCGGTGGCGCAGTTTTCTGTGGACTAGGAGTCTTTGGTGATTTGGTAGTGATGATTGCATTCTTAAACTTCTCCGAGGAATGTTTTCCTTTCGTCGACCTTTTGGATTTTTCTCTTAGTGTTGGCGAAATCGTCGTCGTTATTTTCGATGGTTTACACGACTCTTCTGCAGCGGCATCTGCTTCATCGACGGCTTCATCATCTTCCAGAGGATCTACTTCATGACCGACTAGCTCTTCTTGGTCAACTTCCATTTCTTCCAGCTCGGTTTTCGAGTCTAATTTACGATTTTCGTTCAAGAATTTGTTAACATCTGCCGAAGATGTTATCAACGAATCCAAGGCAATGAAATTTTGCGAATTTTTAGCGAAATATTCATGATCCTTGGTCTTCAGGTGGATGGTTAGAGCGTCATATTCTATTTTACAAATTTCACAGACTCCACACTGTTTGTCAGATGAATCCTTTGGAGCTTGAGCCTGATTCTTACATACGCTGTTTTTCTGTGAATTGGTGGGCGATTTGAGAATATCATTATTTTGCGGTTTTCTAATGTTCTGAGCTGATCTCGATCTTGATTTGCGAGTCATGTTGTTATCTTTTAGCTGATTTGTATCACCACCGTCGTTGAGTTTATCCTCTTTGGGGATATCCTTTTTGGGTGATAAACGAAAAGCGCCGTCTTCACGGGTTAATTCTATTTTGGGCCACTCACTTACTGGCTTCTTGAATAGGTGGTAATAGGGACGATAATTGCGTTTGAGTGCCTCTATTTTTATGAAACCACCTTTGAGACTAATGGGCTCGACCGTGTACGACTTCTGAGAACCGTTGGCTGAATCTGCCAAATAATCCTTTAGCTCGTGTTGGACTTTTTTGAAAAATCTTAAAGCATTTTCACACTGCCACACAACATACGGAGGAGGTGGTCCAACATTATCTCGCGATTTCAGAGGTGTTGTGGCGATTACCGCTGCTGACTGTGATAGCTGATCGACGGTCGATGCTCTTCGTGTAGTGCAACCAGTTGAGGTGGGTGTCGCAGTGGCGGCAGTACTTAAACGTCTGGCACGGTTTAGTATGGCATCGGCTCTAGAATTACGTATTGGTTTCTTGGAGTTGACTGCTGCACTGCCATTATTTGCTCTAGAGCTTTCAAAATTTTCTATCGAATATGGAGTCTGTGGTGTTTGTGGTGTCTGAGGTGTTTGTGGGGTACCAGGACAACTGTTGTTACTATTGACAGCACCGGCGGCTGCTGCGGCGGCAACTAATGGTTTATCGGTTACAAAATGTGTTACACTGGACGTCAAAAAGAACTCCAATGAACCTCCCAATAATTTGATTTGTTCCTCGATACGTTTGGTCAGCTGATGGTCACATATATCCAAATAGAATTTAAAATGGCAAAGGGGTTTCTTGCATTTGATTACTTTGACAGGAGTACGTTGTTTATGGATATCGGATACCGTAGCACCTGCTGGTGATGCTCCTGGCGAAGCTGCTGTTGCTGCTGCAGTGCCTGTCGAGAGATTCCTTGTTGTTGGTGTTGTTGGCAATTGCTGAAGTGTGCTTTGCCGCTGTTGCTGTGTTTTGAGTTTGCTTTTTTTGATGATTTCCGATTGCGGTTGCATACCTTTAGGCCCAATATGGCTATAGTTATGCATTTCCATTTGTAGAGAGTTGATATAAAGAGGAGAGAACAAGCAGTTCACAGTTTTGTTGTCGTTTGATGTTTTAGCATTTTACAGTGGTACACATAATAGCGGTTTTGATGTAGTAGGCGCGCACAAATCAATGTTGGAGTTGATTTTTGAAACGAAAAGAGAAAAAAGGGGAGAAAAACGATTTTAGTTAATTTTTCGAAAATGTTTTAAATAAAAAACTATTTTAGTTAAATTCTTAAAATAAGAAAAACCCGCCAAAAACGTCACGAAACCTTTTTAAAACAATAAGTCAAAAAAGAAACAAATGAGCAGAGAGACGACTGAATCAAACTGAAAAGGACCAAAGCAAATACAAATCTGACAAGCCAGATGTTTAAAAAAATGACAACAATCACATCATCCCCCATGATCACACACACACGCCCAATCACTCAGGAATGGAATCCGTAGACACAGTCACACACACATACATAGTTACATTTTTAAAGGATCATCTGGATATGTTGCACAATGGAATACAACCCTGCATGTGAACAAAGCAGTGCTGTAAACCGAATGCTTGATAAGAACGTTTTAGGGTACTTCTAAAATAAGCTAAAGGTTATTTTTTATTGGTTTTATTATCACTAAGCCTTGAGGGGAATAATAAAAAAAAAATTGTGGGAAATGATAATTCCCTAAAGGGATTTTTTGCAGATCACTACATGCAAATAGTTTGTGATAGAAGAATGTAACGTTCTGGTGATGTCCTTGTTACAGACTTAAAGCTCTCGGTTATCCATTACAACAAAAGCAAGTCCTAGGTTGTTTTTAATGTAGCAGCCCTACTGTTGGTACACAATGTTTAAGGTAACTACGTTGTTGATATTGTCAAAACCAAGAAATTCCATATTCAAAAAATATCTTCTCTATATCTCCAACCATTAGATCGTCTAGTTCACCTCTTCAATATATTAGAAGTGTAATGAGTAAGTGAACGAATTGGGTAAAGTACTTGGAATTAGTAAAATAGGACTCGAGAAAATATGTCTATAGTTTATAGAACAGTTATACGAAATCGGCTTTTGTCTACAGCCATATGTCCTATGCCTTAGTTTATAGAATAAAATTTTCTACATCCTTCGCAAATACCACCATGAAATTTTATCTATACTTCAATAATGCTAAATTGTAAATCAAGCGGCACAGGTTACAGCCAATTTAGAATATATGGAACGATTTTTAAAATTTTGTAGCATCATTATATTTTATTTATTTCGTATTTCGTTTTCAATATATTTAATTTTTAAGCCCTTCACTAGCTAAAGATTTCTCTGTACTCCTATCTGTATGTTTTTATGGAGATGATATATTAAATACTTCATACCTATATAATTCACATGTTAATTTATAGATACACAATTAGTTTATGTACAATAAAACTATGTATGATTTAGTGGTTTGGGAGTATGGTGTTCATCAAACCAATTATTGTGAATACCTAAAAAATGCATATGTATTAAATTTATAATATATATATAACTCTTGATTTATATATATATTTGTATATAATGCTTAATATTTACGCAGTAATATATGTTTGTACACATGGACACTCTTTAGTACATATTCATATAGTATGTAGGTATATAACAGAATTTTCCACATGGAAACATAGATATAAATCAATATTAACATTTATATTACAATATATTTGGTCGTTTCCTTTTTAAAATAAATAGTGCATAATATGGTTTCATGCCAGCAGGGAAATAGGCTATAGAACAGATAACAATTATTTGAGAGTATATGAATACATAAAGTTAAGCTATATGTTAATAAAATTATTCATATTATTTCGAATTAATTTTATTAAGCGTTAAGCTTCGATTTCAGTGAAATCCCTTTGAGCGGTTTATACGTTTAAGTTTTTTTTATAGTGACGTTACATGTTTAGGTGGAAGTCCCATTGAACACCAAGAAGCCAAGAATGTGCATATCGGTATTCAAACACCATAGTGTTTAATGCAGAGAGTTGATATTTGTTCAAAACATAATTTCCAATTCAGTTTATTTAATATTAACCTTTAAAATTCCCTTACAGTAAATCAATTGACAAACTAACGACTAACAAGTATATATCCATTTCTTACCTACAATTCTTTAGCTTTTCTATAGATTGACTATTAGCAAATTGGTTCTTCATAGATATTGTATGTAGGATGCAATGTGTTGAACAACAACGTATGTCCAAAAACATTGTCTCTAGTTAACAACAACAACAACAAGTCTAATATCAAACATTATTCCTCTGCAGGGAATGATTTCTCTTTTCCCTTAACCAACGTACCAACCAACCAGCAGCAGCTCACATCACGTTTTCCCTATAGATGTTATTTTTATGTATATAAATACGTAGACGTTTCTTCTGTATGTTTATATATGGCAAGTGAACGAAAAAAAAAACTAAAATACGAAAGAAAATAGTCAAAAGAATATAACATCACAGCGACATTGCACGGCCAGAATATGCGTTCGTGAAACACAACAGCAGCACACAATTTGATTTTGTGTAGATGTTTTTAGACTTCTTTTTTCTGTTCATCGTATGTATTTTTGTTTCTGGTTTGACTCATGCTATATAGCTAACAAAATATGTACGTTCGTTTTCTTATGTACGATATATTCTTGCATGTTGAAGAATATTGCGAAAATTGCATTTAAAATTGTTCCCTTTGGATTTTGCAAAGGCACACCAAAGCGAACAGACACACGCACAGCATTTACACAAAAACAACAATTTTTCAATCTGTTGGAGGTAATTGCGGCCGCACACTTCACTCTTACGAGAAATTGAGGAAAACATTTGTTTGTGTGATTAACATTGTGGCTTACCGTTTATCGCTGTTTCCAATTGAATATTTATTTGTGTCATCTTTAATTAATACAAGTTATTGCATTTTAAGTTAAATATATCTGGCTTAGTTGTCGTCGTTTATTTCTTTTCGCTTTCATATGCTTTTGTGTTATGTCAAAAAATGCAACACTGTGCCGCCTATTACGAACAGTGTTGCTAATGTTGCAAAACATTTTTAATTGACAAATGGAAATTGGCGTTTTTTTGGAATGCATCAGAAAATGATAAAAAGTGTTTTTTGTGGAAAAAAGTGTATTGCTTATTTAACGATTTTACAATTACAATCTTGTATCATTCTAATTCATGGATATGGGGATAGCACGAAGATGCATCGTATAATAATAATTTTATTTAATTTTGTGTTGTCTTTTTTATATAAAAAAAAAGAAAACATATTTAGATGTTGGCTTGATAAGCAAATATTTGGTGCATTGTAAGAATGATTTTAAACAAAAATAACATATATAATTATTTTGGCTATAAGTAACTGAAACAGGTGTTTCCATAACAAACTTCCCTCTCTTTAAAAAAATCTACTAAAAATAATAAATGTGGTTTTTAATTCATAATTTTGTTACAGTGTTCCAATAACCAGGACCCCCAAATAAAATCCGGACATATAATGTTTTTGAAAATATTGCATACATTTTGGTAATATGCAAATAAAAAGTCTTCATTGGTCATAATCTCTAGTTTTTACATAAAAAATGTTACGCTGTCTTTTTTAAACATACGGAAATTGGAATAAAAATGTCAAGAAGAATTAAAACATTATTTTTTTTTAATTTTAAAACTTTGAGTAGTTTATCTTTTATTAGGTAAAGCACAATATATGAATTTTGTAATTTATCTTTAATGGGCCAGAAGTCTTTGAATTAAAATAAAATTGAATTGAAAAAAAAACTTTCATTTACGCCTTAGGTTTCTGAGATAATAATCTTTTGAACAATGACCTTTTGTGTCTGTAGATTAGAACATTTTTTCATAGTGCAAATATTTTTTGTGCATCAAGTTCCGGAACTCAAATTGATATAGAATTAGTTATTTAGGGTATAGTGTCAACAAATAATATTGAAAATAAAGTCGATACAAGTACGAAATCTTGAAAATGACTGTCATCTTATGATTGTTGTCCTATAAATACGCATTGATACTGTGATGTTCATTAAAAAAAAAAAACAAAAATGATTCGCAATTGTGGAGACATTTAAACATAAATATGAGCATCACAATTGTCAGTCCCAGAACCTGCAAGAATGAACAACTTTTTACAACGATAAATATTTTTTCCTTTGATCTGTTCCCGTACTAATTTTTCTAATTCTAAATAATTTGTTATTAAATAAAAATTATCTTAGATAATAAATATTAGATTCTTGCAGTTCTGGAACAGACATAGTATTTTTTTAGTTTCTGTGCATTAGTCCGTAATCCTTTAAAACACTTTCAATTGTTGGTGATGGATTTTCCTGCAGCAGTGTTGTATTTCAATAGTAGTGTTAATTGTACCAGATTTCGTTAACCCAGTGGGTTTAAATTGTCAATTCCATTGTGTACATATCAAATAAATTTTCATAAAGTAGGTTGACCCGTTTTATAAAACGACTTAAAATTAATCAAGATATTTTCATGATAAAATTAGCATTTATTATCTACTTAATCGAAAATATGTGTATTATTACGTTATAGAACATATTTAGAATCCGCTTTAAGTACGAGTATAATTTATTTTATATATTTTTATTAATTTGCCCCTGGGCAAATTTAGAGGTACTAAAATATTACGTATTATATTAAAATATCCAGAATTATTTTAATTTTTTTATTAATCATATATTGGTATGTTTATATTCAGAATTAAAATTGTTATTTTAATTCTCTAAATTCTTTAAAATTTATTTTTGTGAAATATAATCGTATAAATAAAAAAACGCTTGATTAGCATCATTGATCAAATATTACGTTGCGCGCAAAGAAACCAAACCGGATCAGAGTAAAAGAAAAACAAGAAAAGAAAAAGACGAAAATGAAATAAAATAAAACAAAGTCACCACTGTCAAAATGAAAACAATAATGAAACAACAAACGACAACAAAATAAAAACAGCGATAATGGCAAAAAAATTGATGAAAACAAAACAATAATTGGATAGAATAAATAAAATACGACGATAAAAGTCATGTGAAAGAAAACTACAGAAAATTGCAATTATAAAAATAATATAGCAATTGCCAGCCAGCCAGCAGTAAACAGACTGGCAAATGCACAACGTAATTATTATTGTCGACACAGAAAACAAAAAGAAAAAAGATATCATGTGAGATTTTAAATTTTTGTGTGTTGTCAGAGTAGAAAATGGAAATTGAAACAAAGCAGAAAAAATAAATACTTAAATACGAACAAATAAAAATGTGTACATTTTTGTCGTTTTATATAAGGTTGCTTGGTAGGTTGATTGGTCGCTTGCTTGTCTGTATGAATGCAATAGTGAGTGTAGAAAGAAAACAAAAAACAGGCAAAAATATGTGATGATGTTTTGTGTGTGCTTTAGTTATTTTTTTAGGACGGTTGGTTCAGAGTCTGTGGATCTAGTTGCTCAGTACATGGTTCGTCGTTCGTTTGTCTGTCGGTCGGTCGTTGGATTGGTTCGTTTGTTTGTTGCTTTCGAACAGGCTGACGAAACACTACGTTGGCCTGTATATGCTCTTGTTTTGTTACCATCAAAGCTGCTGAAAACATGAAAAATACCATATATATTTAATGTATGTGTGGCAATTGGCGTGGTGACTACACGACGAGCATAGTGTGGTTGAATGTGTTATTCCTACTACTCCTCCTCTTGCTCGTCGTCGTCGTTGCCGTTTGTCTACCTTGACTACACACCACAAACAAACAACAAAAATACACATACAGCCGGCATATTATACAAAGCAAGCAATCAACCAACCATCTGACAGACCTACCTAACGACCATCCGACCGACAAAAAAACACAACTATGGCAAACAAACCCAGCACAGCACAAAACAGCTCACTTTGCAGCAGCAACCAACCATCGAATGTTCAAAAAATTAAATGTATTTTGTGGTGTTCATCGTCGTCGTTTTCGTTCTTGTCTCAAAACATGGAAACAATTTAACGCATACAGCCAGCCAGAAAATACATAATGTATCAACGATTTATTTTTGTATTTTGTACGCAAAAAAACACGGTTGAACACAAATGAACAAGTTCAATTGATGGCTACCCAATGATTGGATTCATTGTAGCTACATTTAAACTTGTATTTTAATATCCTAAAACTCAGCTTCACGAAAAACATTAATGAGGTTAGCAAATTTATTTTAAGTGTCAAACGAAATAAACAATAATAAAAGCAAATGTTTTTGTTTACAATTAAAAAAGGTTAATCTCATTCTCACTCTCTCACACACAAAGGCTCTCTACAACACTACACTCCGACTCCGCTCTTTCTCTCTGTCCCACCTCACTCAACACTTTTGATACCGTTAACTAATTTTACATAATTTAATAATATTAAATCATTTTTACCTTTTAAGAATTCTTTCAGTTGTTCTGCCGAGATATTTCGGTAGCCCAATTCATTTAAATAATGCAAAATGGCGCGTGCATCCACTGGCAAATGTGACATTTTCTTGTGAAACTCACACTGGCGCTCTCCACATACATTGATTTCGAATCGAAGAGACACAGAGCAGACGAGGAATAATGAGAAACACAATAATGTAAAACAACAACAGAAAAACTTAGTTCAAACAAAAAGAAAGTCCCCACATACAATGTTGTTTCTTCCACTTCTTCTGCTGCTGATGCCTCTGTTTGTTTCGCGTTGTCTTCGGTGTTGTTTTATTTTTTTGTTGTTTTTGCTGTTGTTGTTATTATATTTGTAGCCAGCAAGCTCTAGCTTGCTATGTTGTATAAATTTAACACTTTCAATAAAAACGATTCGCGTACAACACATACACACTCGATATATGAGAATTTCTTTGTAATTTTTGCGTTATTTGCAATTCTTTTTACTTATTTGCTGTCGTCGCCGTCGTAGTTACACATACTTTCAAGTTTTTTTCTTTTCATTTATTAAATTAAAAGTAATTTTATCTTCTCGCAAACGTTTGAATTTTTTCCCGTTGCTTGCTTGGTGTTGTTGTTGGGCTTTGTCGGAGCGTTGGCTTTTTGGGGGTTTTCACAACTTTTCTATATTTAGTTTGCAAATTTTCAATCAATTTCATGCAATTCTTATAAAACACTTTCTGATGATTAAGTTTTTCGTTTATTTTTCTTTTAATCTACTATAGTTTTAGTGAATTTATTTTAACTTTACACAGAACGTATCAACTTTTTGTAATCGTCGTATCGTTTCGTTTGACGCTCGTTTTTTCTTTCATACTTTATCTTTTGCTTTGCTTTTGTGGTATATTCTTTCCGCGACTGGTGGTGAATTGAACGAAATTCACCTCTTCTATGTTGCTTTGTTCGATATAAGCAACACTGCAATTATGAGCAGGGTTGTATTTTCAATAATGAAACTATTGAACAAATAGGGGAACTCATGTTGAAAGTTCTTTGCTCAATGGTACCGGAAAATTTCTTTATAGATAATTAGTCTCATGGTACAATTGTACAAGGTAGGGTCGCTTCTGTCAGAAAGGAGAAAATACACTTCTACCTTATGGGCAATAATGTCAGAATAAATGAAGACAAATGCAACAAGTCGTTCTGTCCATTTGACATATATTTAACATTTTACCAAAAAACGTGAAAAATGAATGGAATGTCAGATTTTCTTTTCAAAATCGAGTTCGGTATATGATTTAAATGTTGTTTGGTTCACAAATCATACATTTCTTCTTACAAATGTTGTCAAATTCATATTCAAACAAATCGATTTTCGAATATATTTTATTACATGGCATAATTATACAAGGTAGTCTCATGCAGTCATATGTTTCCAATTTGTTCATAAATTTGCCTTTGACAGAATTCAGCAAATGTACGCATATCATGTGTTCAGTGGCAAAAATTGCTAATGGTGTTTCTACAAGATATGTATTTTACATATGTGCTGTCACTTTTTTACATATGGAAATCGAACTCGTCATGTGAAACATACGGAAATTTCAATGTGTCAAAACGATATGCAATTACATATGTATTTTTTTCCGAATAGGACGCGCTCTATTTTCGTATGTGAAACATAAGGAAATCAGCTGTTTGAATGAAACACATTGTTGGAAGAAAATATTTCAATTGCAATTCAAAGAAAAGGATGAAAAGGCAACAATTACAAATTATTATTTCGTTTGTAGGTGTTTAATAAAAAAATGATGTTGATTTAAGAAAAAATAAAAGTGTTTTTTGTTTATAGGTTATGTCATATGTAAAATACATATGCCGATTTGAACACAAAAATAAATGTTTTGTGTACACTGCTAATTTTGACACACATAAGGAATTACATATGGATGAAATAAGTGACAGCACATATGTAAAATACATATCGTGTAAAAACATGATTACAGAGGTAGTCTCATTTGACAAATTCTCTTTTTAAGATCCATATATCAATTTCAAATAAAATGAAAAATATATTCCATAAAGTTTTATTATATCGATTGGCATTTTTTTCAATATATTCAACAAAATATATTCTCTAAAGCTGAATATTGCTCTCAAGATTTAACCATTTTTGTTATAACGTATATTTAGTGGTCTGTTCCCGTACTGCAAGCAAGAATATGCTACTTTTTACTACGATAACGAATTTTCCTTTATGTTATCGAAAAAAAAGTAAAATCTAGTAGATTCTTGCAGTACGGGAACAGACCACTAAATATACGTTATAACAAAAATGGTTAAATCTTGAGAGCAATATTCAGCTTTAGAGAATATATTTTGTTGAATATATTGAAAAAAATGCCAATCGATATACATAAAACTTTATGGAATATATTTTTCATTTTATTTGAAATTGATATATGGATTCCACATTAAAAAGGGTTACCAATATGAATTTGTCAAATGAGACTACCTCTGTAATCATGGTACAATTATAAAAGGTAACAGCAAATCCCAGCTGATTTGATTCAAATGTAATACTAGTGTCAATATGAAATTGACAATTTATGTTTTTAAAAATCACCCAACAGGAAAATTGGAAACGCATACAATTTGAAATTGTTCTTTATTAAATGTGCTCCCATATTCAATTTACTCAATCTGTGGAAGCAAATCTTTATTCAAGGAATAACTCGCTATTCCCAGTATTTTCATATGTGTAACACATATATATGGCAATGGCTCAATTATTGGAAAGATGTGGAAGCGATAGAAATATAAATTTGATAGATATTCATTCATGTTTTTCAATTTTTATTTTGAGGATTCGAAAATATTTCATTTTCAAAATAAAAATAATTTGATGATAATTTGTTTGTTTGTTTACATTTTTCTGTCAAATGAGTTAACACTAGTAGAACTTACAACAACAAATTTCCATGTGGTTGTTGTATCGTTTTTTGTACAACAACACTTGCTGTTACCTTCTATTATTATACCATGCTCTGTAATTATGTCATACTTTTATTATATTTTTCAAAACATTACACACAAAGTGACACATTTTGTATAATATGACTTCGGCATAACAAGCCACAATATGAAAAATTGAATTTAATAAGTTGCTATGGCCTACCTAGAATAATTGTACCATGATTGGTATATTCTAGTACTGCAAGAATTTACTACGATTACGAATTTTCCTTTATGATATCGAAAAAAAATAGTACAATCTAGTAGATTCTTGCAGTGCGGGATCAGTCTAAATGATACAACGAATAACGTAACCTCATGCTCACATATGACAATTTTTTTTTATTTTGACAACCCTTTATTGTCAAAATTGTTTAGACACAACATAACTCTGTCAATTAAAAAAAATGAATATTTGTATAAAAAATTGTAAACAAATTTTTAATATTGAATAAATTACGTGCCTGGAATAATAAGGACAAGATGGGATCCTCAAATTTAGGAGTATAAAAAAATGGACTAGTTCTTCAAAACGATATTGGGCCGAGATCGAAAACAATTGTTGTTAATAAAACCAGATAACAAAAAATATTTGAAATAAAATATTCTTGGGTAATTAACTGTGTTATTTTTGTCTTCTAAAAAAGTTGAAGGTCTTCCTCTTCTTTTACAATAGCTGAAGGTCTACTTCTATATTAACACTACTATGCATTTACAAAGTCGTTTTTAAAGGTCGTTTACATTAAACCGGATTTGGCATTCCTTTGAATATATGCCAAATAAATCCTCATAAAGTAGGTTAACCCGGTAAAAAGTTCTAATGTAAATGCCGTATTATGTCGAACTCCGACAGAAAAAACATATCGAAGAAATCGAAGCCGTTAGCTCTACTTGTAGTAAATTTCAAATCTTTTACCGGTCCTTAAACTTGTCTAAATGAGTTCATTTTTCTTTTCATGAACGAAATTGCAAAGAGTAAACAATCAAAATATTTTACAATGATAAATTACGCATTTACATGCGCACTTTATATGATGTAAGTTTATGAAATCCTGAAAATAAATTGAGGTTATTTACTCTGGCTTTGAGATCATTTTAAATGACTATGGATAAAATAAGAGACAGCACATATGTAAAATACATATCGTGTAAAAACACCATTACATATACACACAAACACTAAAGCTACGTTTAGATTTACGAAATCCGAAATAAATTATTTAGCATTTTTTTCCACTGAACACATGATCTGCGTTCATTTCGAAGGAAGATATTTTCATTTATGGTCTGTTCCCGTACTATAAGAATCTACTATTTTTTACTACGATAACAATTTTTTCCTTTATGATATCCATGGTACAATTATAAAAGGTAACAGCAAATCCCAGCTGATTTGATTCCAACGTAATACTAGTGTCAATATGAATTTGACAAATTATGTTTTTAAAAATCACCCAACAGGAAAATTGGGAACGCAAACAATTTGAAATTGTTCTTTATTAATGTGCTCCCGTATTCAATTTACTCAATCTGCCTGCTGGGAAAGTTTGAGGAAGCAAATCTTTTTTGAAGGAATTACTCGCTATTCCCAGCATTGTCATATGTGTTACGCATATATATGGCAATGGCTCAATTAAGGGAAAGATGTGGAAGCGATAGAAATATAAATTTGATAGATTTTCATTCATGTTTTTTCAATTTTTATTTTGAGGATTCGAAAATATTCCATTTTCAAAATAAAAATAATTTGATGATAATTTGTTTGTTTGTTTACATTTTTCTGTCAAATGAGTTGACACTAGTAGAACTTACAATAACAAATTTCCATGTGGTTGTTGTATCGTTTTTTGTACAACACTTGCTGTTACCTTTTATTATTATACCATGTATGATATCGAAGAAAATAGTAAAAATTAGTACATTCTTGCAGTATGGGAACAGACCATTAAATTTTGAAAGCAGAATACTGTCAAAGGGAAATTTAGGAAACAATTGGAATCATGTGGCTGCATGAAACTATCTTGTATAATTATGCCATGTTATAAAATTTGTGGTAACAATATTTTCTTTTTATACAAGTGTTAGGTTACGTTTAGACCACTAAATCCGCTCTATCTTTAATGTCAATTCCTGAAATGTAAATCCTGAATTTACTGTTGAATAAAATGTGTTTTAAGTCGATTTATGCATTTCCCTTCATCTGTCTGTTCTTGTTAAATTATAAACAAAGAACAGATCGAATTTATTATCCGGAATGGATCAAATTTAGCACAGTCCACTTATTCGGTCCAAGGACGAGCCCTATTGAAATTGCAAAAAGTTGTTTCAGATGTAATAGAGGTCCAATAGTGTTGACCGGTTATTTTGGATACCATTTGTATTTTATTATTGCATCAATATTTATATACGTACATTTGTTTTCCATGTAAAACTGCGTGCACATTGAAATTTTTATAAGAATTTATTGGTTATAGAAATTTTTGCAGGGTTAACCTACTTTATGAGGATTTATTTGACAAATATGTAAACTGGTTTAACTTAATCCGGTACAATGTATTCGAACCCAGGTTCTCAGAGCAACACAAATGTTCCTAGAGGTTCGTTCCCGTACTTTTTGATAGTAAAGCTAGTAAAAGAGCGAATTATCATAAATTACTCTCACATACAAGATTTGCGCAAAAAGTAAAAGAACGAAAAAAATAGTTAAAACATGAAGAAACGTCAAAATCAAAAATTTCACTTGTTAAGGACAAAAAAAGACTACAGAAACCTAATGCACACAAAAAACAATAACAAAAAGTTAAACGGCGTTCATTGCATGATTTTGATAATATTAATATTTATTGATTATTTTTTTATTTGTATAATTTAGAGAAAAAAATTATGGAATATATGGAAGTGGATTTTCCGACGACTCCAAGCACGGAAAGTCTTATATGGCTGGACGCTCCCATAATGATTAGAATGTTTTAGCGAACTAGAACAACAAGATATGGAACAAGTCAATTTTAGGGGCCCCACTCGGATCATTTTGATATGATTACCGTAAGTAGCCCTCCTTGTGATGATTACAGTGATATACATTTCATGTGGGGAAATGCATACTTCCCGAAATATTTTGTTTAAAACAACCCTTTTCTATTGCCACCAAGGCAATATGGGTATCATTAAAAGGTTATATCGGGTACTTTTTAAGAGAACTTAAGAGTAAGACTTTCACACATGGACAGGCGCATACATGGCTACGCAATATATTCTTCATCTAGTTATATAGCACAAACCATAACCTTTAAAATGATAAAATGATACGGCTGATTAAAACAACATACTCTCCGAACTTTCAAAACCCATATCTCGGGAAGTATGCATTTCTCCACATAAAATATATATCACTGTAATCAGTTCACAAAGGACTATTTACTATAAAAATGTCAAAGCGATCCAAGTGGAGCCCCTAAACTTAACTTAAGCCCAAGATATTGTGGACCAATGTACACACATTGGTTAGTACGATTAACCAACCCAAGTCTTCATTCTATAGAATGTTCATCTGAATCTTCTGCCAGCCATTCATCTTAGCTATCCTCCAAAAGAGAAAAAAAAAATTTCTTATTTGTTTTTTTTTTTAGCAAATGTGTATGCGTCTGTGCGTGTGTCCCTTTTGTTGAAGCGCTAACTTTCATATGCTTTATTTCGGACTGTATATCTCTGGCAATCAAATGTCAAATTCATAATTTACTACATTTACTACTTCGTGCTAGGCCAAATTGGTCTTGCAGAAAATAGGAGAAGAGAACGCCATTTTGGTTTTAACTCTCTTAAATTTAACTTCAATTTTTCCTACTTTTCGGTGTACGGAAACGCTTTTCTAGCAAAAATTGCAAAACTAGTACAATATAGTACTATATTGCAGGTTTGGGAACACAGCTTAGACCACTTAGCGTTATGCACCATTAACACACTTCCGAAGATTGCAGAAAACACATGTATATCGCTACAACAAAAATGGCAAAAAAAAACTCAAGAAAATGGCATACATATATGCAATGGGATTGACAATTTCGTTATACTGGATGTTCTAAATCCAGTGCAATGTAAATGTGCAAAAAAGCAATATAAATCGATGTAATCATATAAAAAATGTACATTTGATAAATCTGAAAAGTACCGATGATATCAAATTAACATTTGAGATCGATTTGATTTCGGAAGTCTAAACGTTCTTTTAGAATCGTCAAAAATCATATGGCAAATTATGATCATTTTATCACATTCATTTAATCTGTTTATATTGCAGCATTAGCTATTGCAAGATAGGATATACTGTAGCTTGCTTCGTCCAATTTAAAATAAATATGACAGCGTCAACACATAAACTAGCCTCATAATTATAAACCTATTTTCAATTTCACCACGACTTAAAAATACGACTCTGTCTTGTTTTGCGGATGGAAAATACAACCCTCCAAATACTTTTGTAAATGCAATCGCAGCGCAAACATACGCACGCACGCAGAAGTTGCAAGTACACAAAAAAGAAATCAAAGGGAAATAGAAGAGAAAAATAAAAGGAAACACTAACAAATAATATCAAGTGCATTGTGCATTCATTCCTTTCAAAGAACATTCAATAAAAGGATCTAAATTAAGAAACAAAGTAATCGAAAGAACAAAAATGATGAAGAAAATTGTGATAATTTTGGTGATAGGTATGTAGATATTTGTGCTTTGTGCAACAATTGCTTCTGCCCTTTATACATATTTTATGAATTAAATTGCTACGTGACTTATAATGTTGTTGTTGTTATTGCAGTTACCTTGAGTTTCAATTACTATTGCCAAGCGGGAAGTGTTGGCAGAGGACGATCTGGCATTTCGAATTCTCGACGCTCATATTATGGCTCTCAGAATCCCAAACAGCAACAGCCTACCCAGGCCCCAGCCATTACACCCAAGGAATATTTGGACAAGAAATCAGGCTTTTCAACATTTGGCATAATTGCCATTATATTTGTGGTCATCATCAGTTGTTTGGCATTCTACTATGGCATTATGTGTTATCCATTTTTGTGTCGAGATGAAAAGAAATATCGTTTTATGGATGTATCGTCGACTATAACTGCGGCAACATCGCGTTCAATACAATCAATAGAAAATTATCCCGAAGATCAAAAACATGCCCAGCAACACAACAACGAGGAGCATAGATTTAAATAAGATCACAACATGGTTGTGTGTAACCTCATGGGTTTTCAAAACGAAAACAAATGGTGAGATAGATTGATAGAATTACACGATGGATGGATATATATGGGATGTATGTGCATATGCATTTTCTTCGTATATACAGTAAGATTTCTTTTTAACGTAAAAATGTAAGGTAGTTGTAATAGTTTAGGAAATTTTGCCACCCGAAATGCTCAAAGTAATGTAGTGAATAATCACATGGTCGTTTGTGGTAGCCATAATTGTCTGAGAAGAAAACACAGAACCTATCCTTTCATTTCTGCCAAATTCTGTTTATGTACTCCTTGTTGTGTTCCCTTTTTTGAACAACAAATTGATGCTGCCTGCCAGCCTCTTGAGTCTGCGTACACAACAACAAATCACAAGTCTAGACATACGAATTTCTGAACAAGCCCTCATCATACACATCTCGACTTCTTTGAATTGGTTTCAGTGTTCAAACCTTAGAGCCATTATTACTCTTGTATGTTTTCAGTTTGTAGCAACAGCTTGCCGTAGTCATCGATAATACATCGTTGTTATTGTTGTTGTTGGTAATATATTTACGATTGTTGTTGCTATTTTTGGCTTTATGTTTTGTAGTATATATGATAGTGTGTGTATGTGTGTCTGCCTAAGTGTGGCTTATAAATCCCCATGTTGACCTCAGTCTATTTGTCTGCTTGCTCATTTGGTTGTTGTTGTTTTTATTGTATTACTCAGCGAGAAGAACGTTGATTGTGGAATGTCAGTGTTTTCTTTTCTCATAACCAGTCTTTGATTTATTTTAACTCAGGTATCAAATTCAAAATTCTGTTAGTTTCTTTGTTGCTGTTGTAAGTAACCATTTTTTGTTCATCATAGAATTTCTTTGAATAATTCAATGAAGGGTGTTATTTTACTAATTTGGAAATGTTTAGACATTTTGATTTGACGTTGTTGAGAAATCGTTAAACATGAAAACTTTCAAACACATTCCCATTGAAACTTTCACACTATAATAAAGCTGCAGTTGCAATATAAATGCAGGAGATTGCGAGATCTTCCTCATCTAAATTCTGATATAATTATAGGAAGAATGAAATCAGGGCTAACAACAACAATAATCAAGCCACTTTTTTTTTTGGCAAATCATGTTTAGTACAAAACTGATTGCTTATTTAGAGTACCTTATGTAGCATCGCGCATTTGCATGGACCATCGGGAAATCGATATATACACATGATAATATTTTAAATGTTTTATTCTAAGCCCTTTTTAAGCATCATAATTTCAATACACACTGAAAATGTTGAGATAAAAGCACTACTGAAATGAGTCACCATTAAATTACAGATTTCTCTGATAAATCTCCAATAATTCTCAGAAAAATATGCACACTACCTTCCATTCAAATTCTGTAAATTGCTTATTCAGAATTATTACATGATTTACCTTATAAACAGAACTTTCCCCTTTTTACAAGCAAAGTTAAAAATACTACACTTTTTATACTTAATAATATTGTGATTAAACTTTTAGAACAAAAACAAAAAAACCGATACATTCGAAAAACAGTAATTTATTATTTGAGTTTATTTATCCTGCCTCCATTAGGTATACAGTAGGTTGTTTACAGAAATAAGATAAAAGCCTAACTCCATGTAGTTTTATTGTACTCCTTTAGCATTTAAATATTATTCATATGAAAATTGTATTTTTAACAAAACTACAATGGCATTTAGTTGATGGAATTTACAAAAGAAACCATTTTTACAGAATCAAAATTATAAAGAAAACAATGTTTTGTTTTAAATATTCATATACAAATGTATTTATAAGATTAGTTCGTAAGAATTTTTATACGACACCTTTTGATAGATTTTTTATACATTTTTACACATATACAATTTTTTTACAAATAAAAATAAGTGAAAATAAAGATTTATAGAAAATGAATGAAAATTTTTAATATATTTTACTATGAAATTATAGCAAGAATAGATTAACTTATCATTCAATCCCTTGCCATGGGGAAACAGGCATTTATTTATTTCTGGAAAGTGTTGTTTAAACTCCTGATTTAAGATAAAATGGGCAAAAACGATCAAGGAGTTACAAACGGAGGTACAAAAGTTATCTCCCAGCATAACAGAGTGGAAACCTAAAATTAATAATCATTCGTTATAATTTGGAAAAGCAATAAAGGTAATACATTTATGATTTCCCCGATTGTCTAAGGTATGGTAGTTGTCGACGAATCTCTGAATATAGATAATTTTATTAAGGAAAGACAGAAGAAGGCTGACGGGATCGTAATGAAAGGAAGCGATGACCTAAAACCTAAGACCTAAGAATGAAATAACTTAACAATTTTGATACAAAAAACAAAAACGACTAAATTTGGGCACTTACTTCTTTTTTATTTACTTATTTCATTTTTAAATCTGCGGAGTTGTTTCATTATGAAAAATTTCCCTAAAATTTAAAAATGAAACATGTCCCAACAATTTTGTGACTATATCATAAAGGCAAATTCGTTATCGTAGTAAAACGTAGTAGATTCTTGCAGGAAACAGACCAATTTATTGTTGAAATATCACAATCAATAATTGTTTAACGATTAGGTTATTGTATAGAGTGGGGTCGTGGTGATACTAAAAACAATTTCGAAGCCAGACTTAAGTATTAAAAAATAAATAGTTTTGTTGTGGAAATGGGTTGATATTTTCGATAAAAAATATTGCGGACATTTTCGTTTGAATCCAAATTTTTAACCCATTTCCACAACAAAACATTTTATTTATTTTTAAAAAATAAATGAACTAGAAAGAAAGTTTTTCTGCTTCAAATAACGGTAATTATATGGTGTTTTTTTAGATTGGTTGGAAATTTTGATTTTTTTTGAATTTAAATTTCCAGCCTATTATTCAAATTTGAAGACTTAATTTTTGGTATTTGGGACCTTATTTCCTATCGCCGTCTTATGTGTGTGTCTAATTAGGGGAGACTGGGGCACATTCGGCACTTTTTTTAGAGCTTTCTTTCTTGCGCAAGTACCCATGCTTCTGATCCATATAATAGCACGGATAGTATCAGCGTCTTGTAAAGTGTGAGTTTGGTCTGGCGGGAGGTGGCCCTATATGCTGCGTTTTTCACATCAGTAGCATTACGACACTCCTGATCGTACCATGGGTTTCTTGGTGGTGGTTTTTGGTACCCAAGTGTTGCTTTTGCTGCAGTTTGTAGGGAGTGGGCAATTCTTTGCCATTGTGCTTCTATACTATTATCGGGACAAGAAGTGCTTTCTTCAAGCAGATGGGTAAGTTGAGCGGAGTAGGCCTTAGCTACCAGTTGTGTTTGCAGATTTTCGACGTCGAATTTCCGTGTTGTGTTAGATCGGACCTTTGCTGCTACGGGTGCGTACTTTGGCTGCCACAAGGTAATGGTCCGAATCGATATTCGCTCCTCGGATCGATCGGACGTCTAAAACACTAGATGAATGCCTTCCGTCTATCACAACATGATCAATTTGATTTCCCGTTGATCAGGAGAGATCCAGGTGGCCTTGTGTATATCGAGATACTTGAATCTGGTGCTGCTAACTACCATGTTTTTTGCTTCCGCGAAGTCAATCAACCTTATGCCATTGTCGGATGTTTCTTCATGAATTTTCCGACGGTGGGGCCAAAGATATTTTCCTTTCCGATTTTTGCATTAATATCACCTAGCAGAAAACATCTGTAAAAATACAAAAATACTGATTTCGTGTGTGTGAATATATAATGCGGAATCCGTGTTGGTGGTTAGCTAAATGGAGATGTTGACTCATGGTCTGCAGTAATAGTGCTTCCAAAACTTTAGCTACAGGTGATAAGAGCTGATTTTTCTGGTTTTGGAAGTGGGAATATTCTGGCAACCTTCCAGATCTCTGGGACTACTAGTGAGTTAAGCGATTGAGATAGGATTGTTTCCAGATACAGGGTGGTACAGCGTAGTATGTCCTTGTGCATATGTTTGTAACATGCAAAAGAAAACGAGGTAGACCCATGGTTGCTTTTGAGAATATACATAAAATTACTTTCTGAGTCGATTTATGCCTGTCCGTCTGTCCATGTATTCTTGTTACCAATGTACAGGTCACATTTATGATTCGATTTGGATAAAATTTGGCAAAGGTCACTTATTTGGCCAAACGACAAATCGAATTGAAATTTGAGAAAATCGCTTCAGATGTAGATGTACCCTCCCATACATATATTCGTCCGACTTTATGTAAATGGCGCACCAAACTCCCAAGGCCTGTTCGATAGAGACAACATTTTCACAGCGTACTACATTTTGAACAGGTTGACGTACGTAAAGTTTTGTGATATCAGTTCAGATATTGCTCCCTTAGGTATTTTCGTCCGATTTTATGTAAATGATGCACCAATCTCTCAATATTTGTCCGATTGCACAGCGTACTGAATTAGGTCCAGATTCATGTATGTGGAATTTTGTTGATATCGGCACAGATTAATGGTGCACCAAACTGATGAGGTTTGTCCGTTTGAGACAACATTTTGCAATGTTTAGTACAATTAAAGTTTTGTTGAAATCGTTTCAGATTCAGATACTGTCCATGTATATATTTTCGTTAGATTTTATATTGGATTGAAATCGGTTCAGGTTTAGAAATAGCTTCTATACATTTTCAATCGAATTCATCTAAGTAGTGTACCAAATAACTAAAGTTTGTCCGATTGGGACGAATTTGTGCACAACATACAAAATTTAACCTAGGTCCGTCTAGGTTCATGCAAATTTTGCATCCAATAATAAACGTTTAAACGACAGCGCATTCTGCTGCAGCATACCAAATGGTGTATTGTACGGGTTCTTAAATAGGCCCAGATTTACAAAGCTCCATATATAATTTTGCTCCGTTCCATACATTCAAAAATGCTAAAACAGTTGAAGGGTGGACATTCAAACTTAGTTGACAGGATACAATTAATATGGTTTTCGTCTCTGAGTGACATCAAAATTGTCATTTTGTTTTCTCTTACATTTTTCTCCATATCCTCTGCTGTCAATTTTGTAATACCACATAAGCCTATAATTAAATTAATAATTTATTAAAAATACTGCTTTTATTTGCAGAAGTTCTTTCCTTTGACATAATTTTTGGTAGAATAAAATAAATCACAAATATACTCACGCATTCTTAGTTTGCTTAGAATGTTTACCTTGAGAATGGAACCGTTATTGTCATGCTCTTAGTTTAGGAAAAACTCTGCTACCACATTACCCGCCTATACCACATTAACCGATTATGTTATTAGGTTTTTTTTGATAGTCATAAGAACAATTTACAACTAATTTGTGCCTACGTTTTAAAATAATTCGCACAGTCCATTTAAGATTTGTATGAAATTCTTGCCGAAACCTGCAGTAGTTAGGTATTTCGTTTTCTCAGATGGTAAAAAGCTCCTCACTGAAAATATACATTTTCATTTTTTAATGGGTCAACAAATTAAATTTTTGACATTTTTTCTTTTTCGTAAAAATAATTTTAAAAAAGAAATGATTTATTTTAAATTACATTTACTTTGAATGTTTAATACTAATCGAACTGCCAAAAAATATTTCAAAATACTGGACTTGCAATAGGTTTTGAAAACAAAATGGCCGCAATTTTTTTTTAATATCCTTTCGTAAGCAAAAATTTGCATTTTCAATAATAGAAATAAAAATGTTTATTAAAATAAAAAGTCGTTCGTTCACGAACTAGTCATTTATTTGTAAAAAAGGGCCTACAAATTTGAAGCTAATCGGTTCAGTAGTTTTTGAGAAATCTTTCTTGAAAAATAAAATTGCGAAAAAAACGCATTTGAAGTTTTTAGAACCGACAGAAAAAAATTTATAAAATATTAATCAGATTCGCTGATTACGTATCTGAAGTCAGTTTTTTAAAATTCAAAATTGCGGAACCAATATGGGGGACGAAATTTTACAAAAAAATTTGAAAAACGTACTTGTAGTGCTTTATCAAATTTTCATAAAATGTATTATTTTTATACTTACAATTAATCGACGAATCCAGGGGCATACAATAGCTCTTCTGCTGTCGAAGATTTCTCTAAAGGTGTTTAGGACTAATCTTCCAAATAAGCTGGTTGTACCTTTCATTATTATTTTCTGTGAAACCACCGACGCATTCGTAAAATGTTTCCTCCATATTGTAATCAAATATACATATATTTGTAATCAGCGGCCCCAAAAATCTCCGAGTATCAAGTTTTAGCAAATTAAAAATGTAAAATTTTGTCCGCCATTTGAATTATCGAAATCTGACTTCAGATTCGTAAGCTGTTGGAGTGTACAAAAACATTGGAATCATAACCCAATTATATATTTAAACCAATTCCACAAATGTTACTTTGAAAATATCGTGTCTATCCGACAGCATAACGCCATGCGAGCTCCATTTCAATTTGAAATGTTTTTCATTAATTTCTTTAGTTTCCATTGGCCTGATAAATGAGACAAACTTCAACTCAAGTGGACTTGAATTGGAGAGTATTCATAAATTAACCGAAAAGCGATTTAAATTATTTCTTCGAAAATGGACCTTGTGCTAACTCATATTACACTAGTTTTTTGAAACATTATCTCAAACCAGCAGTCGAATTCTGAAACAAATACACCCACACATTTATTTTCCACATTTCCAGAATTTATCGCATTGTTTAGTTTGGTTGTGTATACGTGTCTTCATACGGTTTGTCCTAATGTTTGACTCACTATAAGCAACCAGTACAATTTAACCATGTGTTGAACAGCTCATATTGATCTCAACAATGCAACAATACATTCTTGCGCACTTTCAAGGCCACAACGAAGCACAATAGGAATCTATTCAACATAATTTATTTGTATGAATTTTATTATATTATAATTTTATTATTTAAATTGCATACCAAAATAAATATAAAAGTCATTTTTTGGTCATTTACTCCAAACACGAATAATAAACATTGGTTTACCAGTAAAAAAATGATAACGGACAACATAATTTATTTGTATGAATTTTATTATATTATAATTTTATTATTTAAATTGCATACCAAAATAAATATAAAAGTCATTATTTGGTCATTTACTCCAAACACGAATAATAAACATTGGTTTACCAGTAAAAAAATGATAACGGACCTACATATGGTGTGTCTTTTTAAATTAAAAAATATGTATAGATTGGTGCTTATCTTAGCACCCAAAGCCGTACTGATGCTCTCAGTGCCTATCAATATTATCGATAGATAAGGATAACACAAACATAAAATAAATATATTATTGAAGTATAAGAAAAGAAAACAATATGAAAATATTACTGATGCTTACTTAAGTTAATAATAGTGTAAACAGATTTATGATGTTATTCATTCCACCCTTATATTTCTGCACTGACATAAATTTTATCATTATAAGTCATCGTTAGTTCTTAACAATTTACATAAATTATCCTTGTTTGTACAAAATTAAAAAAAATATGCAATATTTGTTTTCAGTATATTATTAAATGCATATTTTATTATTGATAGGTATAGTTATTTATTATACATTTACATATATATTTAAAACTTTCTATAAGAAAAAAAATTAAAACAATAAAAAATCATATTCTTCGACATATCTAAAGCCATTGGCTTTACTAATGTTTTATGTTTTTATTTAATTTAATTATATTTAGTTTTTTTTTTTATAAAAAATAATCTATGAAATTAATGACAGTCTTTTAATGAAACAGAATTAAGTGATTTGGTTATAAAATACAGTATGAAATGAGGAAGAAGTTGTTGGTGGAATTTTGTTGTTATTGTTGTACTTAAAAACTATAGAACCTCTTTACAATTCATCCTTAATGTCGTCATCCAAATCAACATCGGAAAGATCAATATCCTCTTCAACGGGCAATTGACCATCTTTACCATCCCAGGCAGGTACAGTGTTAATGGCAGGTTTCTTAGCTCCCTTGACGGGTGCTGTTTGACCACGGCCAAAGGAAATATCACGTAAGAATTCATTAATACCATCCTTGGAGAAGGATCCCTTGAGGACAGCGTATTTCATTTTCTTGAAATTAACCACAGCCATGGCGGGATAACCGAAACCGCCGATTTCCAAAGCCGATTCCAATTCAGGTTGAGCCACAGCTTCAGCCCAAGCCCAACCCCAGGCCTTCTGTTTGAATTTTTCACCCAATTCACGAAGGGTAGACAAGAATTTGTTACGGCACTTAGCATCACAGTCGAGAATGTGGGGCAAAACTGAGATAACGCACAATGGCTTGCCTTCGCAGGCGGAATCAAATGAAGTTTCATCGATGATTTCGACCAACTCTGGAGGTGGAACATTGGCAGCGTGTTTATCCAAAGCCCAGGTAACGATATCCGAGGAAGTACGGCCACCATCATATTCTTGGGCATCAGATGAGGATTTCTTGCCAGCTGGGAAATATTTGATGGTGGGATAACCGCGGACATTGTATTCAGCAGCCTTGCTCTGGTGAACAGTGGCATCCAAAGCGCCCAATTTAACCTTGCCCTTCAATTCTGTAGCAGCTCTAGCCCACTCGGGTGCCAAATTCTTGCAATGACCACACCATGGAGCAAAGAATTCAACCAACCAATCATCCTCGGATTGCAACACCAGTTTATCGAAGTTTTCATCAGTCAATACAATGACATCACCACTGCCGCTATCACTGCCAGAAGAGCTGCTGCCGCTGCTACCGCCTCCAAAAGCAGCTTGTACCTTCTTCTTAGCTTCGGCCAAAGCCGCCTCCGCAATAGCCTTAGCTGTGCGTTGGCCGTTGTAATCTGTGGGTGAGCGTTTGTTTGCACCAAAGATCTTTATGGTGGGGAAACCGCGTACACCATATTGACCGCCCAATGATTTGTGTTCATCGGCATCGACGGCACCAACTTTAATGACGCCCTTCAACGCTTTGGCCAATTTTTTGTATTCAGGAGCCAGGCTTTGACAATGTCCACACCAGTTGGCATAGAATTCAACTACCCAAATGGCATCATCCTGAACGACGAGGCGATCGAAATTGGTGGGTGTCAATTCAACGACACCATCACCGGAGGAGTACATACCCCAAGCGGATGGCAAAGCCACTGATAACAAAAGGCATAAAAATCCTAAAAACACAACAAGAAATCACATTTAGTTTACAATTTTAACAGAAAAACACGACGCAGCAGTCACTAACCTTTTATCTTCATGTTTTTGTTTTTGATTACTACTGCTGCTACCACAGAAATGCTTCTAGAAGAATGTTGTTGCAGTTCTCACAAAGAAAAAAGCCGGTGACGTTGACAAGTTACTTTGCCTATAATTAGTTTGTTTTATTACAAAAAGTAAATATGAATGAAAAGAAAAAATAAACAATATTAATTTAGAGAATAGTTATTTGTTGATGCTGTATTCTATCGCTTACTATTAAAGTATTGGTTAATTTATATCTTGTTCCTTATAAAATAGAAATTAAACTAACAAACCCCTGAATGTTTACCTTACTTTGTTACTTTGCAGAATGACAATTTGGCTCTCTATACAGACGTAGAGGTTTGTGATTGGTCAATTTTACACCGTGAGTGATGCCAACTGTGATTGTACTGAAAATCGTCAACAATTTGCTTAGTGTTGCCAATCATGTGTATAGAGTGTGCAATTGACAGTATTGCCATATTTGAAAGAGTTTAACGGTGGTTGGGAACATACATAAATTTTTTTGTGCTTGAGAAGTGACGTAAAAACACATAATTTTTTGCTGTAAAAGAGTTGAGTTACAAAAGAAAAATTTTAACATCTTTAACTTACCAAATTAACTAAAGTCAAGGAATGAGCAGCACATAAAAAAACTCCTACAATTTATTCACAGTTGTAAAATATCTTTATAGATTTTATTATTTTTTCTGTTTTGCTAATGATTTTCATGTAACCAGTAATCAGTGGTGGTGAATGACAAATGCTATGAAGTACAAAAAAGTTACATATTAGTTTCGTTCCAGAACCTGCAAAAATCTACTTATTTTACATGTTTTGCAATTTTTTACCCGAAACACGTTCCTGAGCCTACGGGTCTATTAAAATTATCAACCAAATTGAAGATAACACACAAAATGTGTGTTCTCTTCGAAAAGTTTTTACTTGAGAAATTTGTATATAATAAAAACAGAAGGACATATGAAACAGAACAATAATTCATTTCATTCATTGATCTAACATTGATTTTTTGTTCAGTACTGCTGATCCTTTTATTAATTATGTCCCTATTAAATAAATTACACATGGACTCTACATGCAACGAAAAATTATACACGATATGTGGCTAAACTGAAGAAATGATTGTGTGTTGTTTGCGATAGTGTAAATTATAACTATTTTTTACTTTTAAGTAAATAGCAGAAAAAAAAGTACAAATGTTCTGACTTTTATCCATAATGTGCATATATGAATTGTGCACTTAAACGAAATATTCGTGAGAGAATCCGAGAAAAAGTTCCAAAGATATGTATTTTGGGCAGCTATATACAAGACTAGCTGTCTACTACTACTGTATTAATTTTGACATTTTAACTTGTTTTTTGTATTATTTTGAATTCTGTGAGCGATAAAAAATTTTCCCTTTTACTAGCTTTATTATTAATTACCGAAAATTGTGGATCGGTTTCTGTGGCATGGCTCATGCATACAATCAGTGTTGCCAGTTTAGCACTTTTTAAACTCGTTTAGCACCAAAAAAGTGGTCTAGCACCTAGCACTTTCGATTTAGAATTGATGCATGAATATTTTACTATGTTTTAAACCATGAGTTTGATTTCCCAAAGTAAAAATGTGTCAGTATATATGCAAACAAGCAAAAAATCTTAAAAGTTCCGCATACCAACTTTTTATAACCTGCACCATTAAAATGTTCTTAAAAAATGGTGGGGTACTTCATATGTTGACTATGGCTAGTATGTTGTTATTTGGGAACATGAAAAATCAAATTAAGCGGGGTCTTTCTATGGGAGCGATGTAAAAATTATGAACATAAATTGGAAACTTTCTTTATTCACCATGAATACGCAATTCCAAATTTAATCATTTCAGAGTGCCGAAAATGATTATGTGATAAGATAGGCTTACATCAAAAATATTCCGCAAACATATTTTTTAAATTACAGCCACTTCAGTGAGCAAAAGATTCCAAAACCTTAAAAGTAAGCAAATAGGAGGGAACCGTTGTATATTAGCTATACCAAAATGTTTACCGGTCTTACGATTTTTTGGTAGGGATATTTGACATCCCATTAGAATTATAGTAAATACTGTTGAAGAACGAGCCCGAAGCCCCCAATATTTATTTATTTTATTTTTTCAATTCATTAAATAATACTAAAGCCTTTAAGGCCAATAAATAGTATTAACAATCATAATATTCCAAGTAGAACTTATAAATAAACAACTATATAAATATAAACTAATGGCTCCCCAGCCATAACAAAAAAATAAATAATACTCAGCTAAATAGATGCAAGTACTGACCACGATAGCAACAAATATAAACAAGATTTTGTTAAAGAAACAAGACAGACTTAGAATATATATTGAATATTAAGTGATTCAAAAGAAGACCAAATTATGAATGATGAAAATATTCATCATTGAATAATCACCGCTGAAGTTTAAAGTGGTTCATTAGTTTTTCTCTGAAAGAATTATTGGAGCGTGAAAAGAGTCTCAGTTCCACAGGTAAATAATTCCATATCCTTGCAACTCGTAATAAAAATGATTTCTCAAAAGAAGAGTAAATCAACTCCCAATAATGTTTCAACATAACCAGATATATGTTCACGTCGTTTTAATCCATACACAAAACGAGCAATACAGTTTACTATACGTCTTAACTTCACAAAAATCCGATCAATAGTGCCAGAAACCACTTCTAAACCATAACTAACATGAGGCATCAGCAACGCAAATGCTAACCTTTTTTCACCCATGCCGGAAGAAACAAGTTAGAAGAGCACAACCTTCGAATTGTACAGCAAACTTTGCGTTTAATCCAGTCAACATGTGACTCAAATGAACGTTTATCATCCAAAAATATACCCAGAATTTTATGACAGCTTACGAAACTGATTCGATTCTGGGCTAAAAAAATATTAATATCATATGCTTGACAACCGAACATAATTGCCTTGGTCTTAGAAGGGTTAATTAAGAGACAATTATCGATACGTATAAGACAACTATTTATTTCCTCTTCAAAGTCTGTAGCATATTCACTTTCATCACAAAAGACTAAAAACACATCATCTGCATATATTAGTGGTGTACTGTTAACGTCAGAAAAACACTCAGCAATACAGTTAACATAAAGCACAAACAATAACGGACCCAAAACAGATCCCCGCGGAACACCACATTGAAGTGGGAGTAACATTGAAGATTCTCCATTATAAAAAACAAATTGCGATCTACCACACAAGTAAGATCTAACAAGTTTGCAAGCAGTACCAGAAAAATTGAATTCATTCTTAAGTTTATTCATCAACATTTGGTGAGAAATTGAATTAAATGCTTTAGTGAGATCTAAAGAAACAACTAGCGCATTCTTATTAAGATTTGTGTTATGTCTAATCATATCCGTCATATAGAGCAACAATCCTGTTGTACTGTGATTCCTACGGAACCATTATATAAATATCTGTTAACATGTGTCAGTATGCCGCTATTTGGGGCTGCCAATGGGAATTCAAAACATAAAATTGGAGTCACTTCGGATAAAAAACGTGCCTAAATCACTAAAATACCGAATAATACAAACAAACTTCTTCAACGGCTATTACGTTGGACAATTACCTACAATTACCTCTATTCCGTATGTCGACAACGACGATGTGTTCTTGTCGAAATCACTTCGACATTGATTTAGTATTCTGTAACACTCATCTGACGATGTTGACTATTTATCAATAATATCAATAAAACAAAAAACACATCTCTAAAGTTGCAGTCAGCTGATTTATTTTGTTCGTTGCTTTTGTGCAAATATGATGTTTTTTTATTGCCGATTGAAGTGAAGAACAAAGCAAAGAAGATATAATTATGCTTAGAAAACAAATAAGACAAGTTTACCACACAGTCAGATTACCAGATAAACAGTGATTTATTTAAATTATATATGTATTTATGAGCACTTCGTAATGTTTATTTTGTTTCTCCTTAAAAGGTTTGAAAGTTACTTTCGCTTTAGCAAACCAGCGTTTAATTATGTATTGGAAACTGTTGATCCTCATGAAGAGCGGAATTAGAGCTACATTTGTTTCAGAAACAATAAAATTAGTACAAAGCCATAAAATATAGGCTCTGTGGAAGAGCTGGAGGTCTTCTTCCTATAGAAGAGCTGCATGTAATTTTCTTCCTATAGGAAAGCTGGAGGTAATTTTCATTCTATTGGTGAGGTACATATTATTTTTCATGTGGAAAAGCTGCAGGTTATTTTCTTCCTATAGGAAAGCTGGAGGTATTTTTATACCCTTCACCACACTGTGGTACAGGGTATTATGTCTTTGTGCATATGTTTGTAACAGGCAAAAATAATCGAGATAGACCCATGGTTCCTTTTGAGAATATGCATAGAATCACTTTCTGAGTCGATTTATGCATGTCCGTCCATCCGTCCGTCTGTAGATGTTAAATTGTAAACAAAGTACAGGTCGCATTTATGATCCGAATTGGATGAAATTTGGCACAGCTCATTTGTTTGGCCCAAGGACGAACCCTATTGAAATTGGGAAAAATCGGTTCAGATTTAGATATACCTCCCATTAATATTTTCGCCCGATTTAATGTAAACGGTCCCTATATATCTTTCGATTTGCACGAAAATTGGCACAGCGTAATGAATTAGGTCTAGAATGATGTGTGTAAAATTTCATAAAAATCGGTTCAGATTTAGATATAGCTCCCATATATATCTTCGTCCGATTTATGGTAAATTGTGTAATAAAATCCCTATATATCTTTCGATTTGCACGAAATTTTGCACAGCGTAATGAATAACGTCTAGAATGATGTATGCCAAGTTTCGTGAAAATCGGTTCAGATTTAGATATAGCTCCCATATATATCTT